CCTAAGAAATAAAATATTTTCATGTACCCCTTGCAAGGCACTCGTGGACCACTAGGGGTACGCATACCCCCGGTTGGGAAACACTCCTATAGATAATAAAATGTCAACAGAGTTTGCTTGAATTATGATACTTTTCTTTAAACATGGAAGTCACATTTTCATACTCTCAAATATAACAGGAATATGAAGTTTATTATTTATTATTACTGCAGCAGATATATCTTACTTGGAAAAACCCAAAGACCAAAGATTTTTTTTCCTCCCTTGTGTCTGGAACTTGCTCATCTCAGCATGGACATCTTCTTGAATTATGTCAAAACAAGCAAGTATTATGTACATTTGATGTGATAATTTGGTGAAATTGATTTTCAGAAAAATAATATCAATAATATAAAAAGGGAATAATCCAGCAGCTAACATGCAAGAAAAAAAAAAGTCTTTTAAGAACACAAATGAACAAATAGAATTTTTACCATATACATTTAAAGAAAGCAGTGGTAAAGAAAAAAATATATACTTGATTAAAAGAAAAAAAAATCTTCATATGTGAGGAAGTGAGTCACATATTTCATGTGTTTTCTACATAAAACATGAAGAACACATAAAAGAAATGACATCATCCACTGTAGATTTTTGTTTAGTTAAATCAGAATATATTAAATTTAGTCAAGAAAATAAAAAAAAAATAAAAAAAGAACGTTTGGGAGTGTGAACTAAACTCTGGATGTTAGATTGCTCTACTTTGTCCATAATCTTTTAAGATACATTATCTACAAATGTTATATTCATTATTTTTTTACCATTCACCTGTTATAATCCAATGAATAACTGTTCTTTTTATATAATTTGTAGTAAATCTCTAAATGACATAGCGAACATACCACATAGTTTTGCACAAAGTTTTCTTTTTTCTGTGGTTGTCTCTTCCTTTACTGAAACATGGATAAAGATGTGGCTATTGTGGACTTCTAGTAACCTGACTTTGCTTTACACTATGCTGGTTTTTAAACTGAGTATACCATCATGCGTTTTCATTTACTGTGCAGTTTATTAAAAATCTTGATTCTGGTTAGTCAAACATTTTTATACAGTTGTTTGTGATGTGTAAATCTGTTTGCTTCTTCCCCTCTGATTGACATGAAGGGCGATTTTATCTTCTTCCAATGTATTTTGTCTGAAAAAATATGAATTATCTGCTTAATTTTCTATTTCATGGTTTTCTTAATACCTGCTTTTAAATATTTGTATTTAACTGTATAATCATGTGTCTGTAAACAACTGAAAAAATCTCTAAAGGAATGTAGAGAGTAATCTTTGAATCCAGAGTGATAATGTGTAGCACTATATTATTAATTTGGGACTGCTTACATTTAATCTTTTTTGGGAAAGACAGGAAGTTAGGCTTTGAACCTTTCTAGCTGATAGGACAAAGGGACACATTGTGCCCGTCTACCATAGTTTATTTTTTAGGCAATCGCCGAAACAAAGGCAATGGCGGCATACGCTATGAGAAATCACAACAACTAACACATTTACAGATTCTGGCAAGACAGATGTCATGTGAGCAGCTAGGCGAACATCATCCTGCATGACATTGTTTTTTTGTTTTATTCCAGACTAGAGGTTGGCTTCATCCCCATTGCTTTCATCACAGCTATATATCCCGCCTTAAACGATAATACTGCAACATGATTGGCCAACCCATTTTAGGTCATTCTCAAGCAGTTTAAGCTGGATTGTGTTTTTAGAACACAAGTAACGTGGAAATTCAGCTTGCAGGCAAGATTAAGAATTTACATCATCATGGACACACATTTCTGCCTTTCAGATGCTTTTAATTACATATATTTGGTTTATTGCTACCAAAACTTGCCACTCTGTGAGTAACATTTTAAACACAAGTCAATGTACCAGACTTTTAACTAAGTTAGAAAAGAAAACATTTCTCCGAAGCTTAAGGTATTTTGTTGAGAAATAAATCCTTCTGTCATTGACCACTCAACTCTAATATCACCTTTAAATAAGTGTCTGTCTTATTTTATTTCTTCTGCTAACAGACATATTCTTTCATTCTTTTTGAGTAGATATTTTTGTGTGGTCAAAAAATTTGGTCCAGGGGCGTGCAGGTGGTGCAGTGGTTAGTGCGCACAACGCCTTAGTCCGTGACGCAGTCAACCTGGATTCGAATCCGACCTGTGGTCCATTGCCGCATGTCTCTCCAACTCTCTCATTACCCCTTCCCTGTCAGCCTACTGTCGAAAAAAAAGAAAAGAGCCACTAGTGCTGTTAAAAAAAAAAAAAAAAGATTTGGTGTATGCTACATAAACGCGTCTCTTTGCAGATGATCCAGTTTGGTATGCACTAATTTATTGTTCAGGCTTTGAAGGTCCTATCAACTGTTTTGATACTTTAAGCACCAATCAGCTACCAGCTTAGTCTTCCTTCACTTTTTTCTAGAGCACTAAAAGCAAGAGGAAATTCTGGAGGTACCTTCTGGTCTGGCCCACTGACCTATTGATTCAAGATAAGTTCAGGTAAAATATAGATACAAACCAGATTACAGCCAAACAGAGACCAAGTGAGAGATTAGAGGGCATTTGAAAGAGGAGAAGGGAGAGGGTTTAGCAGGATGGGGGGGTGCGAGAAGAGAGGATTATTAAAGCCAGAGCCTGCATCCTAAAATAATCCTATCAGTGAGCTTTGCCCAATGCTGTGCAGGGAAGGGGACAGTTTGGGCTACAAAGTTGTTTTTGCATTCATAAAGTCATCAAACTGTGACAAGATTATGATGGGAAGCCTTTGTTTTAATGAGGAATGCCTTTCATTTGCTCTCTGGTGTTTGTTTGGTCATCTCACACAAGCTTAGCACACACGCCAACACATACACGCACGCGTTCAGCTGCCTTAATCTGCAAAGCTGGTTCAGAGTTATGTGCCTCAATGCGAAGCTCTAAGCGCCCGCTTCTTTCCATGCTTCACGTTCTAATTTGGGTATTGCCATGGTTACATAAGATTGAGGGTCAGGAGGTCAGTGACGTTGCAGACAAACACCGGATGGATGTGCGACTGTGGGGATGCACTGCAAGACATAATATAACCATAGAGATTCAGCATGAAAACAATCAGCCCTTGGTTAGGATCTAGATATGAGGAAGTTTACGTGTAGCTGCAGAATATAATAAAGGAAAACATACAAGAGTTTCCTGCAATTGTATCTATGCCTTTTTCAGGAAACCAAATGTAATACAGCTATATACCCTGAAGTTTTTGCATGGGTTTGTGTTATGTTGGAATCTTTTTTAGTGTTTTGAGTTCTTTTGCATAAAGGAAAAACCTAACCTACACAAAAGGTTATGCATGCACTCCAGCTCTAGCATAAAGGACACAGCATGTACTAATAGACTGATTTAGCTTGTATGGAAACGAGAGTATCAACAGTGGAAAAAGACCTGAGGAGAATCACTACGCATGTACGTAAAGAAATACAAGAGAGGGAGGGTGAGAAGCTCTGTGTTGGTCCACTAACCTACTTACCATAATCTCTCTCTTCTACCCATTTCATAACTGTACCAAGTTACATGATACACTTATCATCTTGCCCACGCTTGCAAATCAATTATTTTCATCAGAACTCTTATCGATAGGCTTTGCTTTTGACAGGCCGCTCTATGCCAGCGGGGTTTTTCTGTTCCCTTTTGTGCATGTTAACACGCCCCCACATCAAACAGGAATGAGAGGAATCACAACATACCTGTTGAGCTGTACTCCAAATTGAAGGATAGATGAGCCGTAAGTTCATGTAATTATGGTGCTTTTTTTTTTTTTTTTAAACTATCTCTAGAGCAGGATTCTTTAGAAAATCCAGAGCAAGTAACTGCAGTAAAATAACCTGAGTCCAGTTTTAATTCCTCTGCTAAGATTAGAGTTTGGTAATCCTTTGCAATAATTACAGCTTCTTTAAATCCTGCAACAAGCGAAAGGAAAGCTGAGGACACTGCTTCTATTCTCCTTTCTCATTATGATCACTTAAGTTATTCATCTACCCTACTATAATCATGCTCAGCCGTTTTATTCAACAGACCTTCGGCTGGCTTCAATAACTGTGAGGGTTTCTTATCACAAGAAAAGGAGAGTTTATCTACTTTACTCTCACCCCTAGCACTTTGGATGTCTGGGAAGGTGATTTAATCAAAGTAAAGATTTACCACAGTCTACTGGTTTCCTCAATCTTCGTATCTACAAGTGTCCTTTAAATGATTGGAGCTTTAGAATAAGCATAGTGTTGATTAAATGTAAAACCGTTGTTCAAACCACTTTTTGAACTCGGATGAGACTGTATTGGGTTTAATTATAAATGGGAGTGAACTAAAATATAAATCAATAGACTGTAATGAACTGGACTGCTTACATTCAGTACAAATTCAAAGATGAGATAAGATGAGATAAGATAATATAACCTTATTGTCCATCACATTTTCTGAGATGGAGATTTGTCTTTAAAATCTAGCAACATAAAACACATAATTGAAAAGGATACTTTTTATATATATTGGTTTTCCTGTTTTGTTTTGATGTCACTGAACTTAATGCGTACCACTAACTATTCATACTTCGAGAAATATGATGTGCATGAAATTACTTCACAGTATCGAGTGAATTGATGAGTAATGAGTAACATAAAAAAATAGAACAAAAAAACAATAGAGATTTTCTTATCTTGAGTGTATAAAACGCTCATCCAGGCTGATTTTATTGAGTAACTGAATATTTAAAGTGTCTGTATGCAGCATGGAAACCATCTAATAATCGCTTATGTATTATTGCTGTTAAATTCCCACGCTGGGAGCCTGCCACTCCGATCTGACACACTGCCACACTTTCCCACGCACGCGAGAGCCTCCTTAAAGCGCGCAAAGGGGAGGAGGGGGGTGGCGCGCGCGTTAACTCACGGGGCACGAGGCGGGCGGACCGCGGCTGAGCGTCATGTGTAGTCCACGCGCTGAAAGTGGGTTAGTGCGAGCAGAGGGGCTGGAAGAAGGAGAGCAGCAATCGCTCCTTAAAGACATTTAGTTTTATCAGCTGCAAGGAGAACCTTGTGAATATTATTGGCAAGAACTTGCGAAGAGAAGTTAGAAAATCCATTTGAGGATTTGTGTTTTTTTCAGCTTTTCCTGTTAAGAGTGAATAAATGCCCGTCGTTCTCTGCGCTTTCTGGCTTCTTTTCCACTTGGAGTTACATGCACCGGAGAGTTGATTACACTTCACCGAAAAAATGAGAGGTAAGCGGGTATTAATTCTGCTGGAAATCGCCTTAATTCAGGCAGAAAAACCTGTCGCACCAGGTTTGTTTACAAAGCAACTTTTCAGCTGTGAGGCAGAGGCGCCACTTTTGAGTCCGAGGTGCGTGGACCAGGAGCGCACATTAGGAACAAGCATGCGCACTTATTCAATCTTTAATTGAATTAAGATTAATTAAGAGAATTACTAAAGATAATCCACATTTTTATTTTTTAAATACCCAATATATTTTTTTTCCAGTTTTGTAGGTGTCATTAATTATAAAGTTACTACATAGTAATAATCTGTATGGCTTTCTTATTTATTCAATTTAAATCTGTGGCAGTAAAGATATGTTAAGATGTCCATCCTGCTCCTTTTTTTTTCACCAGTAAGCCGCTGACTGCAGTTATGTAAGATTGGGGAAAGGGAGGTGGTGAGCAGAGTGATTCATGGGCTGTCAAAGCGCATTAATATCTAGTGGCAGAGATTGTTAAGTTAAATAAGCAAAGTAGTTTTTATTCCAGAACCCCTTTTTGAATGCATACCAATTTTAAATCCACCAAAAAGAGCTTCAAAGCTGACTCAGACATGAGTTTCACTTTGTGGAGCAAGTTTAGTTCAGTTTATTTTATGCAAATTGTGTTTTTATAAGCATTAAAGGACACATACACTGTTTTTTTATTTAATTATGGGGTTTGTCTTAAATAATTCGCTAGTCAGACAGATTGTTTTTGTTGTCCGAATCAGCAGTTTCACTGGACAGAGTGAGAGGGGTGCTCCATTGACCTAGTTCTGTCATTGAAGATTACAGCAAGTCTCTAAGTGTTTGTCATCAGTAGTTTAAATAATGCTTTAGGAGAGACATAAGTTTTTATTTATACACTTAAAAGCTGATTAGCTTTTTAGATATATTTTATTCACAAAATGCATCACATAAGTTGACATTAGATCATATCTGTTAGATAATTGTTATTTCCATCTGAGATGCACCAATGATCCAAACAAAGATAAGGTTAAAATCGAGTTTGATGCCTAAATATTAATATTTAGTCACTTATGTTAATAAATGAATTCAAATAATGTCAAATAAACTTTGTTTTTTTTCTCTTTGGTTTAGTTCTTATAAAAAAAAGAGAAAAAAAAAGACAAGACATCTGTAGTTAAAAATCATTTTTATTTTATCTCTGTGAACCACTTTGTTTAGTTTTGCCACGATGATGTTACAGATCATCATGCACCACCGGAACAAGCAGGATATGGGCACAGCAAGCCCACATATAAAGCACAGCAGGGCTCAATGGAGCTTCCTCTCACAGCTAAGGTTACAACCATAGCACTGCTTTTTAATTGGATTTAAAAAAAGAAAAGAAAATTGTATTTATTTTCAAAAAAACTACAGTGAAATGTTATTTGTGGGACGTGGTTACCTAAAAACGAGAATTATACTAGTGTGTTAAGCAATTATTTTTGTTAACTGTTGCATAAAGAGGTGCAGCCAATACAGTCAAATTCATTAGTCTTATGTTTCTCCCTTAAAGAAACACAAACTATAAATGTTAGGTGTAAAGAAACAAGCTCTCTCTGCTCTCCAAGGATATCACTGTGCTGAGCTCAGCCTTAAAGCCACTATCTGTTGAGAAAACAACCTTGGGGAAGATCACAGCAAGTTAGTGTATGTGTCAAGGTGCCCTTTCTGCAAACTGCATGCTTGAATTGTGCTACCCCATGTAATGTTTTAACTCTACAAACATGCATAAAGCAAATCTTGTATCATCATTATCAAGTATTTTGCCTGCAGATTGTGATTACCTAACATATTCTGCCTAAAACATTTGCTTAGACTCCCTTATGTCGTATTTTGGTGTCATGTGTGATAGCCCGTATCTGTTGTCAAAGTATGCATAATGACAATCATATCTATAAGGATAGATATTTTTAATCAAGGTGAAAGAGTTTGTTGCAGCCTTATACTTGAATGGATTTCTGATGTTTGCTGCATGATTGAGCAATGATATTCTGTAAACTGGATTCTCCAGTCTAGTTTTTATTTGTGGTTTGGAGAGGCTCATTCGGATTAACCTTCTCATAGCTTAGTCAAATCAAAGTTTCCTGTTTACAGTGGTGCAGGATCAAAGTGTGAGTGTGACTTAAGTTCTTGGCAGATGTAACTGTGTTGTCCGATATAAGCAATTTAACCTGAAAATACATTAAAAAAATGCATTTTTAATTTAAATAAATTGAAAGAGATTAGCAACTAGTGAAAAAAATATATAAATTGTCAGTCAAAATGACTTTAATCTTGTTTTCTTGGTGGTCTGATTCACCAAAATGCAAATACTGTTGATGCATTTTTGTTCATACACATCGATTCTCTTTCCTGCAAAATGAAATATTCCACAAAGATCCAAAACCTGCAGAAAAGCAGAATTGTGCAAGAGTGTACACCAACAGTTCTTGTTCCACCCTTGTTGTGTCTGCCAATGAAACTCCTACTCCTGCTGTACATTTTTAAAGAGTGTGCAACTACTATTGGTACATACTGTACTACCTGTTCTCTGTGGGTAGCTTAGAGTGAGAGAAGACTCAATCATTTTGTTTCACGCTCAACATGCAGTGCACAGGTCACAGCGGAAGAAAAAAAGTTACACATGAACACACTTATATCTTGGGTACGAATTGCAATATTTTTTAACAAATCCTTTCTGTTCTATCCCTTTTAGTGCTTCTTGTAGTATTTTAATATTCTAATCCTACCATTTAGACCCCAAAGATTATCACAGACTTAGGTTAAGCATACAATGTCTAGTAACTTTAAAACGCTAGGTAAATAGGACATTGGACTCAGTTTGATTACCTGGGCTGAAAGGACAAAGTCTGACTAGCTAAGGTTTTACAGCAAAGAGGAAGAAAAATGCTGACACATAGGATGGCTTGCTGGCACAAATATAGCCTTTAATGCAGTGGTTCTCTTTATTATCCTGTATTACATAGAACAAAGCTATGTGCTTTAGTTTTACACAGACTCAAATACAAAACTCCTACTTTTTGATACACATGTCTCTGAAACCTTGATTTCCTATTAAACCCTTGATATATCAAATGCTACATGTGACCTCTAACCCCTGGTGGAATATCTAAGTCCAATATGGCAACACATTCCTTAAGTATACATCATATAGTGATGATTATACTTGAGTTCTTATCCTGATATAGTTAAATGAAAGATAGAGTTTGTAGCACTATTACTTCGCAGAAAGAAGGTATCAGGTTCAATTTCCAATCCAGGGTCTTTTTGCATGATATTTGCATGTTCTCCCCAGATGTACCCCGCTTCTCACCCATAGACTTCCAGTTATAGGCACCAGCCACACTGTTACCCTGACGGAATAAGCGGCAGTAGATGTATTTAAGATTATATTAATCTAAATACACCAAATGTATTAGTTTCTAAAGTGGGAATACAACAAATTAAGGTTATTATCTTTGGGAAAAACTGTGGTTAATAAGATGTATGTGTTGTGATATATACAGTATTTAGGTATTTTGAAAAATATTTAGGTTTATCTATCTTCAGATTGGCACTTTTACTACATTTCCACACCCTTTTTGCTATTTGGCTAACATCCTCAAAATCGGGAATAAATGCAATCAACTCTCCTTGAATTTGGATAAATACAGCCAATATGTTTTCAAAAACACCAAAATTATCAGTTGTTATACAGAAAACCAGAAACTCAAATATTAATGTTTATTACTCAGAAAAATGATCCATCAAGAAGAGCATTTCTTTATCTTTACAAATTCTCCTTCCTGTTACTGCTTGTATCAGGCTCTACAGGAGTGAACAACAAGAAATTGTGTTATACTTTTTTTTTTCTAGGAACAAAAGATTAATAAGGTTCTCCAGATAAGCTCTCCCACGGATAAAGGAGCTCTTGTTCAGGCCCCAGCTGGATTGAAACAACCATATCAAATTAAATGTCACACACGTCATTGGTTTAGATATCAGAGCCGATGTAACAAATGCTCTGCAGACTAAAAGTATTTACACCAAACAGTAAGTAATTAAGAGCAGTGCTATTACTGTGCAACGTCTAATATCCAGTAGACCAGAACGACTACAGATATTTTTGGGGTTCATATTTCAACAGAGTAGAAATAGATTGTCGGTGGAGCTCAATTTCACTCGGATATTTGACGTGCTGCAGCAAGTTTAACACCTATGAGCTATATCTGTCTTCCTATTTGCAGCTCACTGTACTAGAGTCTGTGAAATATCTCCAGATGTTGGACTGGTTCTATAAAAAAAAGTCGGATCACCTGTTGTGTTTCTTTGAATAAACCTTGCACTAATCTCTCTCTCTGCATGCCCAATGAACACATCAATTCTCTCCTTGTTTAAAGGCTGAGTCAGATTTGGTTCCACCTTAAAAGCTTCAAGAAGCCAGATTGTGTTTCTTTTCATAAGTCCGCCCCCTTCTTCACTGAATGGAAAGTGTGTCAGTGGAGCAATTTCTGTTCTCTGGTCCTGATGGTGCCACTCAGCTGACTGGCAGGTGAGGCGGCAAGTCTTAGAAACAAAGCTCCTTCTAGCCAACCAATTGGAGAGGGGCGAGAGGAGGGAGGGTTGTGGCACTGTTGCCAGGACAACCCCCTTTGAATGAGCGTGTTCATGGAATGCACCAGATGGGAGTTATATAACAGACTGGAGAGGGGAGGGAGAGCATCCATGGAGGGGGGAGGGACAAAAGGGAGCAATGGAGAAAGGGAATTTTTTTTTCCATTGGCCTTTATTTATTTATATCCCTCAGTTGCATTTCATTTGCAAAGACCTCTAACGAGTGAAGATACTTCAGCATGAAGTACTCCAGAAGAAAGAAAGTTATAAGAGAAAAAAAAAAAAGAAGTCGTTTAATTCCCGCAGTCAGTTTTCAGTACATTGTCGGTCACTGACATCTTCTGCTCTCCCTCTGTCTG